CAGGCTCTTGCTGTTTGTTATTCTGCCGTCCTGAAACACAAGGAAAACAATATTTGTGTGTGCGATTGTAGTGGTCTAAGTGGTTTTTTGTATCTGCGCAGGTGAACTCGTCTTCCCTGGCCTGGACTTGCCTTGGCTAATACTATAAGTCCTGTGGTGGTGAAAATATGTAGAGTGAGGACCAGCAAAATCAAGCATAGGCATATTTTTATTACACTAATGTTTTTTGTACCTTGTCCCAAATACATAAATTCTATTCAATTCAATGACCCTCCCTCCATCAGCCTCACACTGGAGGACTGCAAGAAGGCTGAGGTCTGAGGATCTGTGACTGTGGACAGGTTGATAAGGCACAAGTAGATGTGAAAAATATGGAGGTGCCAGACTTTGGAGGGCTTTACAAACAAGCAGACGGATTTTAAAGTCAATCCGGGTCTGAAATGGAAGGCAGTGGAGAGCCGTAAAACCAGGTGTATTAAGGATAACATTGAGGCTGTCATCTATCCAGTTTCTTCCACTTCATCTAGGGTCAGTGTGTCCCGAGTCTTACCCCGGGCCTACTCCTAATCCCAGGGCCTACTCCTACTCCCATGGCCCACTCCTAATCTGAGGTTCTGCTCCTACTCCCAGGGCCTATTCCTACTCCAAGGGTCTGCTCCTAATCCGAGGGCCTACTCCTTCCCATTTCATGCAGAATCAGAATCATTTTTATTGCCACGAAGTAACAGGAAGTCACAGACTTGGAAATTGCTTTGGCTCAGTGCAACAGTCAGAAAAAATTTAAAACAGAATTATTACAATTACTATATACAAAATACAAGTGCACATGGTGCAAACAATATAAGGTGACAGCACTAATGTGACATTATGATGGGTAGACTTCTAAAGGGCGGGGACAGGTTATGAAGTGTTCAAGAGTCCAACAGCAGAGGGGAAGAAACTGTTCTTATGGCGGGAGGTTTTGGTCTTGATGGACCGTAGTCTCCTGCCCGAGGGGAGTGGTTGGAATAGTTCATGTAAAAAAAAAGACAATACAAAACTATGACGATACATTTTTTTGCAATGTCCATGACACATCAAAACGACATTTCCAACTAACATCTAAAAGCTGATGCATCCTCTGAAATGGGTATGTTGCATATTAATGAGGACATCAGGGAGGAAATGAGGCTTGAATGATTTTCTGGCAATTCTCTCCATAAATTTAGAACTTACCGCAGGACACGATTACCAGGACTTTACCAACGCTCCTATTCAGATCAATAATTCATTACATCCACACCGCGGCAGTTTATTCAAATGGCTTCCGAGGAGAAAGAAGCACGGCACGGCAGACAGGAAGTGATAAATAAATGTATTAAAAAAGAGAAATAAAGTAGATTTGAGAGTATAAACAGGGTGTCATCTCTCTGAGGACTGTGTGAATGAGGCCTGTGGCGCCACATCACTCCACCAGCTTAATTGCAGTCCGATGGGAGCAGAGGCGGCTGGTACACGCCCAAAGGACTTCTGCATGAAAACCATCATCTGACAGCTTATGTAACCAAGACCACAGTTATATTCATGTATTTTGTCTCAAGTTTAAGGTGACTGCATGAGAACAACTAAATGAGTTCAATCCAGAGACTCAAACAGACAAAAAGGGTTATTATTAGTATTGTATTCATTGGTTGCTATGGTAATCTGTGCATACACATATTAGCCACAGGCATTATGGTATGGTCTAATTTTTATTGATGATTTATTTTGTAGTCCCTGAGTATGTGCATAGAATGGCATTTATTGCATGCTTTACATACTGAACTTTTTTTGAGCCGTAGCTTTAATACAATTTATTAGTGGTTTATAAGACTTTTTTTGACTCTACATGTTAGTATAATATGCTTTGAAACAAGATTTGTCTGGAACAACCTGTGCAGAAAAAAGCTCTGCCTCCTCCCTAATAAGTGAATACTGAAATCATGTGCAGTGCGCAATACTGCAATTTCAGAATTTCCACTGAAAGTCACTTTATCTACTTACTACCCTGCATAACTTTGGCTATTTATATTAAATATTTTGAAAGGTTGATATTGGATATATATATTGCATTTTCAGCATTCTAATAAACATGGCACCTACTTATTATGTATATTCTGTGTGCTCCTTGTGTGCTCTTACTACTGTCCTGTACAGTATGTGCGCTGCAACGTTGAAATTTCTTCACTGTGAGACGAACAAAGGATCTCTTGTCTTATTTAGTCAATTTATAGGCAAGGCAAGGCAAGTTTATTTGTATAGCACAATTCATACACAAGGCAATTCAAAGTGCTGAACAAAACAAGAAAGCATTAAAATCATAAATAATCACAGTACATTAAAAAGAAAGATAAACATTTAAAATCCCTCAGTTGTATGCACAGCTAAACAGAACTGTCTTTAACCTGGTTTTAAACATTGTCAGAGAGGAGGCCTGTCTCACATCTTCGGGAAGACTGTTCCAGATTTTAGCAGCATGAATCTGAAAAGCAGCCTCCCCATGTTTAGTTCTGACTCTGGGCACTAACAGGAGTCCAGTCCCTGTGCTCCTCAGAGTCCGGGCTGGTTCATATGGGACTAACATGTCACCAATATATTTTTGTGCGAGGCCATGGAGAGACTTGTACACAAGCAGAGCTGTTTTAAAGTCTATTCTCTGAGCCACAGGAAGCCAGTGCAGAGACCTGAGGACCGGACTAATGTGGTTGTACTTCCTGGTTCTAGTCAGGTTTTTGACTGTCTTTCCCAGTGTGTTTTTCTTCCTGTTTTTGTCTTGTGTTCAGGTCTGCAGCCTGCTCCCTGTCTCTACTGCCTGCCTCAATTTTTTTATTTTTTTTAATATTTTTTGTTCAATCTCAATCACTGCTTTTTGGTCCAACACATACACCGTGAAATGCTTATTCTATTGGAAGAAATCATTTTTGGGATTCACTGAATAAACAATATGAATGCATCCTTATTCAGCCAATATGAACTTGTGTCACGCTTTGTTGGATTTGACTTGTGGATAATTGTTTCTCTCTTTTCTCCAACTGGGTTTTTAGAGTTTTTCTGTCCTTTGACCCTCCTAAATCAGGAAGATATAGAAGGGTCAAAGGACATTAGTGATAATCTAGGACACTAAACACTCAATGACATTTATGGCCATTTATAATCTGCCCCTTTTGGACCAATGGCTCTCTGTGGATCTCATTATTGCATTTCCTGTGTTTGAACAGTTTGATTCTCTGATCTGTGTTGGTGAATCGACAGCATTTTAAAGTCCTCCGAAATAACAACTGCTGTGATTTAGCAATAAGAAAAATAAACTGATATTAATTAAATTGTTATTGTTTCCAGTGGTCGAACTGTTTGACCACTGCCTGCTGATCTTTTTTTGGTGAATCGACAACCGTGTAAAGTCCTGCTGTTGTTATTTAGGGCTACAATAAAATAAGAGTCCTTCACATGTGTGTCGGTTTCAAAAGCAGTGAGGATGTTGATTTCTTTGTGTTTTGACACATGTAGAGTCAGACAGGTGAGGCTCTGTTTGTGTGTTTGTACATTCACTTCTGAAGCGCAGCCAGGGGCCCTCACTCAGCTGTGATCTGACACACTTACTGTAGAGCACTGAGCACCAGCTCCTGATGAGGCGCAGAACACTCTGTACTCACACAACAGCCACATTCAAAAGCAATTTATCTTCTTCCTGAGCGCTATTTTCACATGGTCTGAACAATAATTGTTTTTGCCAAATAAACAAGCAGTTTTTCACAAACACACACAAAGGCGAACTCTCCTCCCAAAAAAAAAACAAGCTGTATGCAAATGCATGCAAGGCAAGGCAGGTTTATTTACATACTGTAGCACAGTTTTTACACAAGTGCTTGACCAAACAAGAAAATAAACATTAAAATCATTTTAAAAATCAATGTACATTAAAAAGAAAGAAGTGCAATCTTTCGGTTTTATGCGCAGCTGAACATGTGTTTAACCTGGATTTGTACGTTGTCAAAGTAAAGTAAAGTAAATACTGTAACCATGTGCAATGTGCAATACTGCAACTTCAGAATGTCCACTGAATGTCTATCCTGCCCTACATGTGTATGACTTTACATTATTTACTGTATATAGATCGATAGAAATGTATCGATATTGAAGCATCTACAGCTACTATAGTTAAGAAACATAGCAGCTACTTATATTGTATATAATGTGTGCTCACTGTGTGCACTTACCACTGTCTGTGCGCTGCAACATTGAAATTTCCCCACTTCATATGGCACTAACATGTCATAGATGTTCTGTGGTGAGAGAGCTGGATGTAAAATTCCACCTCCTCTTTTCATTTTTGTAAATCACAGACTAAAAAATTCATTTTAAATTTAAACTCATCCGTCAAAACACCACAGTTTGAAGTTGGACTGTTTTTGTGATTTTTTAATGACAAACAAGGGCTCTGTAGAAACATTTATATGGCTAACAAACTGGGTCCGACATCGCAAAACAAGGAGGGCTAGAACACAGAAAGGTGATAAGGAAAGACAATCTTATTTGTATGGCACAGGCACAAGACACAAGGCACTGAAATCATGCATAATCACGGAACATTATACAGATTGAAGATACAATAGATAGTTGTTTGCACAGCTAAACAGAACTGTTTTTATAAACATAACATTAACAACATAAAAAAATACAAATTTTGCGATTTAAAACTACTATGAAAAAAGGTTTAGCAACAAAATAAGCTGTAGTTCCCGTAGATATGCACACATGAACCAAAACACAGACCTACAGTATGAGAATTTTCAAACAAAGACAAACAAGAGAGAAAAAGGATCACGTTTTCTTTCAGTTTAATAAATCTTGATTGTGTCTTTTGTCATCCTCCGTCAACCTCCTGGAAGTTCAACCCAAACCGAGCAATATAGCCAATTTGCTTTGTGATTTTCATTTCCTGTTCCCCATGCATTACGAATAACCTGATTTGGCCTGCAGTAATGCTTCTCAATGTGGGGCCCCTGCATCCTGATGACAGAGATGTGCCGAGGGCCGTGGAGTTCCCATCTGGAGGAGTGAAGACGGGCCCCACGCGCCGGAGGGGTGAAAGAAGTGAGAAATATGACAGCGATGACATCCGGGAGGAGGCTCCATATTCATACAGTCATCCCCCACACGGGACATGTGTGTGGGGGCCACCGGGTGAGAGCCATGTGCCGTGGGGGAGATGTGGGGGAGAGCCCAACGGAGCTGACACGTGAACAGGAAACCACCAAATACAGTATATTCTAATTTTGTGAACACAGATCAGTTTTGAAAGCAGAAAGGAGCACTTTGAGGTTGGAAGTGCATTATAAATAAAATGTATTATTATTTATTATTATTGTTAGATGTCTGTTGTGATTTTTTCTTTATCTTCTGATTCTTTGTTTTGCTTTTAAATATTAGTTGTCCTGTGTCCTCCTGAGTTCATTTTCCAGTTCCGGTGTTATTTCTTGCCCCACACCCTCCAGTGTTTCACCTGTGTCTCAGTTTCTGAATTCCCTGTGCCCCTCTCCTCTTATTATCCAACCTTTATCTCACCCCATGTCTTGTATCTGTTTTAACTGAGATTTGGTGTTATTTATTTAAAGGTACACTATGTAATTTTTAGTGCCATCTAGCGTATAGACCTTATATTGCAGTCTACTAACTACTTCAAGGCCAAGTTAATGTTGAGTAAATACACTTGTCTTGCCATTGACGTAAATACATGCAAAAAGATGAACTTGACAATCTTTTTTTATTATAAGGACTGATCTTCAACTATCAGTCTGGTGTGTGTGTGAATGGTTGGTGGTCGGAGGGGCTGGTGGCACATACTGGTTGCCTCGCGTCAGTGTGTCCCAGGGCAGCTGTGGCTACAGTAGTAGTCTATCACCACCATATATGGAGTGAATGAATAAATGACATGTGAAGCGTCTTTGTGTTTCCAAAAAAGTGCTATTTAAAAGCAATGCATTATTATTATTGTTATTATTATTAGCTGCATCAACTTTCAGCTTCTAATCCAGTATGATGAAGATGGCCAGTTGTAGTCCTTGAAATATGAGTTTTATTCAGTTGAAATGGTGCGAATATGGTGTGATGTCTGCGGCTCTACAGCAGTAAAAGTCATGAGCCCACAGAGATTCACACTGTTATACTGGACGTGTTAATAATGGAGTGACTCAGCAGTTGCCCGGACCTTTTCACTGATGTCTATGTTCTTGAGAGAAAAAAAACTCCAATGGAATAATGTCCCCACAAGATGCAACCATTTTGGTCTTTATTGTGTTTGGACAAGTGTTTCAAATTCAAACCGATTTTAACTAGGCTCTTGCTTCGCCGACTGCAAAATAATTCGGTGATTTCCATCCTGGTTCTCTGTATTCATTCTGATCTCTGTCACTAAAAGGTATCAGTGAAATAGGAGTAGAGCAGAATTGAACCTCGAACTACTGCATTGAGCTCAGTCCTCAGCAGATTAAACCAGGCATAGTGGTTATTGCTCACAGTTTTTCACACCTGCTAAAAAAAAATTGATGTTTTCCCAGGATTAGTAGATACATGTTTTAATAGATACTGGGTCAAGAGTAGTAACAATGAGCTCCTGGACAAACTTCACTGGGAATGAGAAGTTGCCTCTCTTCTGTCAATCTTCCCCAGAACAGCTGTAGCTACAGTAGTTTACAGTACCACCATTTTGTACAGAGTGAATGAATTCGATGAATGAATCGATTTTATGTGGGGTAGGTGCTCATACGTTTTTTGAACTTCTACCTACTCCTTTTGAGTCAATATACCTGTAATCACTTTATTGTATGTTGCCCAAAAAAAAAGTATTGTCATCTGAGAGTCCAGGAAAGAAAACAGATTATTATTATTATTATTATTATTATTATTAGAATGATTATGTATAGATCAGTAAGCCAATGTACAGTACATCTGTGACATGAGCCAATGCAACCAACTCAGACTCTGGGGAGCACAGGGACTGGCCTCCTGCTGGGACTCTGAGGAACGATCAAATTTCAAAGTTTTTTTTAGCTGCACATACAACTGAAGGACTGTATCTTCACTCTTTTCAATGTTTCTTTATTATTTTGGATTCGAATGCTAGTTTTGCCAAGCACTTTGAGTTGCCTTGTGTACGAACTGTGCTAAACTAATAAACTTGCCTTTTCCACAGACAGTTACACCCCTTACAAAAAAGTTACGTTTTCTCTGATATTTTAATTGAATGTGTCTTGTTCAATCCTCTCCTCTCCCGTCTGCACTCTCCTAATCCAGAACATTGTCTCTGTATGTATCTCGTTAGCTACGCCTATAAAGAGTGATGTAAATGATATTCATAATCACCGCTCGTCCTGTAGACAGCTGTGCGCACACATCCATATTTCATTTCTGCCTCGTGTTGGAGTCAAGGAGCCTGTGCATTTGAAACGTCTTCCCCCACTAATTATAGGGCTGAAGTTAATTTAGTTAGAAGCTAATTAGTATGAATAAAAGATAGCCGAGTCCCTCCAGGCAGCACTCTGTCAGAAACTCACCCTCCCTCTATCGTCTTTAGACGTCGCAAGGAACAAAACAATAAGTATAAATGTCTGCAAAAGCATTTAAATAGTTGTAGGATGCATGATTGGCCTAAAGCAAAGTCTCGGTATGCTCACACAATTTGTGGGTAATGACTGTAATAATTATGATATAAAACAAACATAATAAATAACTTGCTCTGTGGAAAATGTGACCTATGACCATTGTTTATTCTGTGTCATTAGCCTCACTAACTTTTGCATTTCGTACGAGCAATTCAATATTGATCTTGTGACGGGATTGATGGGACGTTTTGATCAAAAAAACGTACGAGAATCCATCTTGGCATGTGCTCCCAACACGAACATGGTTGGTGTATGTGTGTGTGGTGCAGATCCACAGGTGTGGGTTCAAATCTAGCTCTACAGGTGAATACAGGTGAACCGCCGCAACGTCTGTGTATACTGGTGATTTGGGCTGAGAGGACATACAAAGTCCTCGATCATCAGGTCAAATGATGGAGGAGGAAAATATATGTATCTTCTATCTATCTAACTTCTATATATGTACATTAGATACAGACACTTTATCGATCTCACAATGGAGAAATTAATTTAGGCATTTAACCACAGTACTGTGTTATTTAAAGCTGGAGTGGATTTTAAATCTTATTTTGATCAGGTTTCCCATAAAGAACATGTAAAGGTAGTTCCTCACTATCAAATCACTTTGGTTTTGCATGTTTGTCCTCTGTCACATGTAAAGATCTGCTTCACTTATCTTGTGCTGTGATCTCCTCATTCCTGAGATTTTATAATTTGTGATGCAACACTGAAATTTCCCCGCTGTGCAACAAATCTCGAAATCTTAAAAGTGAAAAAGAGAGAGCCACCCCCAAGTATCTCTCAGCCCAGAGTCTCAAATGGTCATTCACAGAATATTATTTGAAAATACTCTTTCTGTTGGGACTAACATGGAGACAAAAGTTAGGTGCCCCAACTTTAACCAATTTTCGGTCAGTTTACTCTTTCAGGCCTTTCCGGTGTGAACTGCTTGATTCTCTGATCTGCTGTTGGTGAATTGTTACCTTTGTCCTTTGGAACGACTGCTGCTAAATCAAATTGAATCATACAAAACGGTCGTTCACACTTAAGCACAGACACTACTTTCGGTCCTTATAGACTGGGTAACAAAACGTATTAAACAGTTTAAAAGTTTACTGGAGAATGGTCAGCAAATCATTTCAACACACATCTTCAAACCATATCCAGATTCCTTTGTCGTCCTGCAATAATTTGATACCAAACTTCAACTGAAAACACTTTTTGAATCTCCCCATTCGGATTCTGACAGAAGTGATATGTAGATCCACCAACAGCTGCTCCCTCTCGTCTCGCTTCACAAACTCCGACGACATTCTTTTATTGCAAACTGAAACCCGTCAGGCACAAGACACACGGCAAATCTCACTTTTTCTTTTTTTTCCCGCCGTGACGGTCTCAGGTTCGGCTTGGATCCAGACGATAATTACAGCTGCGTGTCTCCGGGGGTCAGGCTAACGGACGCACACGGATGCTTTATAGTTTTGGTGGTGGAGGATCGCTGGAGGAGGCTTGGCGCGGTGCAGCAGGCCTTAGCAGATGCCAGCCGCCTCTCGTGTCGTAGCTCATGTCTTATACAGCAATTTTTCCCAATAGTTGTGATTTATCAGCAGCTCTGGGGAGAACGCTGGTCCCCCTCCGCATTCACAGCCCAACAAACAGTCACTCCGCACCGCCATGCTCCGTCTGCTCCACTATTCCCCAATCTGACATCTCCCTGTGCTGTTTCTCATTTTGGGAAGAACATTTTACCCTGTTTAATACTGTTTTGACCTTTCTACAGATTTCTGCTTGGTAAACGTAAATTCATCCAAGTTTTTGTGATGTACATTTTAGGAAAAGTTAGCATTGGAGCAGTGATTATGGTAATGAGTTTCCCAATAATAAACATTGGTATTAAAATGATAATTATTGCTGTGTGCAAATATAATGCAAAAATAAACTTAAAGAAGACAAACTCCAATTGGAATTCATTGAACAATATGAATTCAATACAATACTATTTATTCTTGTAAAGCCCTAAATCACACCAGAACTTAACAAAACAATTGAAATCACCAACACAGATCAGAGAATCAAGTTAAAACACAAAAACGAATAGAGAACACATGCTGATAAGGGGCGACAGTAGCTCAGTTGGTAGAGCATTGGCCTTCAGGCCAGAAGGTCGTGGGTTCAATTCCCACCTCTACACCTTCTCAACCGACTCCCACTGATGACTGCTGTCGTTGTGTCCTTGGGCAAGACACTTAACCCCACTTTGCCCAAAGCCCCCACTGAAAGATCAAGGCTATGCTCACACTCAGAGAGCAGCCGTCCTCCTGTGGACTCACCACCTGCAGAGGGTCAGTGAGGGGCTGGTGCTATGAGACTTGGGTGGCATCTCTGACCCAGAAATGGATTAAAGGGTAGAAAATGGATGGATGGATGGATGGATGGATGCTGATAAGTGTCCATACCTGTTGTAGAACGTTAAAGTGTCCTGGCACATCACCACAGTCCATGAACCATGTGCCATGAACATCACCACACTCCATGAACCATGTGCCGTGACCAAGTTCATGGCACAGTGGCCTTAACTTTGAAGTAAAGAGTTTTGGGTTGCC